ATGGGGGCCAAGGAGTGGGTGGTGGAAGTGGGCGGGAGAATTGTGGAAAATGCAAAATTAGCATGAATACGAAATACAAGTTAAATATTTGAGCAGCCCAAAGGTGTTTCAAGCGACATATAGAGAGAGGGGCGAAACGAGCATAAGAATGGAGTATTAAGAACGGGGAAACACCGAAAAACCAGAGCCAGGAAAATGGAAAATGGAAAATGGAAAATGCAGGCGATTGCGAGTACGAGATGCTGGGATGCAATCATAGAAATTGCATTTGCCGTTAGAGCAAATGGTGCTTGCGAGTCCAAAATGAAGTATTCTGCAGCATAAGCAGAAAGTGCCCGATAAAGATTTGTTTTAATTGCTTGCCATTATCCCAAAATGGGATATGTGCATCCTGAAGTCTTGAACTCCAAATTGTAAATATTTAAACAGTTTAGTCAGCATTTCTAGATCGTAATCGTAATTGCAAGAGAATTGTATACATTTCCTGCATTGCTTTTTCTTAAATCTTATTTATTTTCCTGTAACTGAACATTTCCCAGCTTTAGACATTTTTAGTTATAAAATAATAAAATTACAAGAAAGTTTCTTACATTTCCTGCATTCCTTTTTCTTAAATCTCATTTTTTTTTTCGTGCAACTGAAGAACTTGATTTTTTCTTTTCCCATTTTCATCAGATAGTTAATAAAAATAAATAAATACCATCTTTCAAGTTCTAATTAATTTTTCCTACAGCTCAAGAACTTTCCCCCTACCTGTTTTTTTTTCATTTTCCAATACAAGTCGGACATGACACAAGATAAATGGACTGCTGATAACATTTAAAATAAATAAAGAACGCACAGGCAACGTTAGCGATAACTAATATTTGATTTATTTACAATTTACTCGCTGCATTTTTTTGTTATTTATTTTTTTCGTTGTCGTTTACCTTGTTTTCTTTTCTTTGGCCGTTGATTTGTTTTTTATTCCTCTCCCTCACTCCAGTGCTCCTTATCAGCAGACTTTGACTTTGGGGACATGTAAATAATTTATATTGTATACTCTCTGTTATGTGTGTAATTTATGACGGCCATGCAGGCACACTATAAAAAACCAAAAACAAAAAACAAAAAACAATGAGCGAAAGAGGTGTTATATGGCTCTTATCAGCGTGAAAGTGGGACGGGTGTACGGGTGAAGCTAGTAAAATAGTTAGTGCTTAGCAACAATATCAGGTTGGGTTTATAGCGGAATAAGCATATGTTCTATATAGAAGAGGACAAATGTCTTTTTGAATATCAATTAATCTAAGTAATTATAAATACGGAAATGAATAAAAGTTACCTAATTGCTTAAGTTAAAGGAGAAAACGAAATATAAAGATTTAAAATCATCATAAAATGTGCCTCAAGGTATGCAAAACATGAAAAATAAATTTAAGTTATATTTATGTAAATCGTTTTAAATTATGGTTTTATAATTTTTTCCGTTTCCTTTTCTGCCGTTAGTGTACTTTATTCCATTAATGACTAACAAATTTGTATAGCGAATTTAAAATCATTTTAGGGCTACGATCGCGATTATATTGGTAAAGTTCAGGCATAAAATACTTAATTGTTGTTTTTAATAATTAACCTAAAATTTTCATGGACTTTGTATATCTGAATAAGAGTAATGTATTTTGTGAGTGTCTTACCTCTATTTTACCTTTACTTAACCTTATTTTGCTGCGTTTCGTTTGCTGCTTATCAAGGCGATGTAACGCACACAAGCGTTAAGAACACACACATTAAAAAAAAAAACACACTCACACACAGGGAGATAAACGCACACAGAGACACAACTAATTGCTGTTTACTCAGCGCGCAATTTTCTTTTCAACACTCAGCGAAAAAGATGTGGGAAAACACTGAAAGTTGAGGGCCATTGCCCGCTGTTCATGTTCATGTTCTTGTTTTTTTTTTTGCTTTCGTAGCTGTGTCAACTGCAACTCACTAATCTCTCCCTATCTCACACACAGATACTCACAAACACATATGCACACATACATTTATCTCCGGCGGTGCCATCTTTCTTTAACGTTTTATTTATTTTACCAAGAAACAAATAATTGCCGCGATGCAAACGGGACGATCATAAAAATTTAATTAACTTTTATGAGCTGGGTAAATAGTGGGGAAAATGCATTAAACACAGCGCAGAAAAACTAGAAAAACATTTACCCAAGAACCCGGGTCTGAAAATAAATTTTATTTACTTTCTTTACGATTTTTCATTTGCGCCGTGTTTGTTTATTTGTTTGCCGATGTCTAAGCAAATGTTTTCGCCAATGTTTGCAAAAGTTTAATTAATACTTCAATGCTAATATTTAGGAGGGTCTATATTATACAGCGGAGGTTAAAAAAATATAATTGGCATTGACTTAGGAATGCAAACAAAAATGCTTACTCTGCAACTTTATAATTCTATTACGAAGCTTTTTTATTTCTTTGAAGCATGAGAATAGTAAAAAAATATTCATTTAACTTGAAATAAGAGTTTAAACTATTCTTTGGAACAAAAAAATCTAATTTTTACTTTTTTGGTCTAAAAATAGTTAAATGCCATTTTAAGCTAATTTTAATTAAAGATTAGTTATGCTAATATTAATTTAAGAAATTTTAATGAAAATTGTTTCCCCTTTCAAACGCCCTATTTCTGCACTTAAATTTGTATTCTAAAAATAGTTTAAGACCTGTTTAACCTAATTAATAACATTGTTTAATTCTGTTAAAAACTCTTAAATTGAATTGCCATGAAAATTGTGAAATATTTATTTGTACCTTTAACATCCTATTGCAATGCGCTCATCTGTAGCTGTATTTACTTTGGGATTGTTTGCTCTTAAAATACAAAAAAAAAAGAAATGTAAGCAAAAATAATTGGCAATTTTCAATTGGAAATTGCGTGCAAATTTATTTTAATTTTGCACCTGCGTTTGGTAGCCCCATCGATGTTTGCAATGCAAATATTTTTAGAAAGCAAAAGAGGGAAAAACCATCAGTATCGCCCCCTCACCTTTTTGCTTTTTTCCTGGACAATGTTTGTTCAAGTTATTTGGCTGCTTCGTTGCCACCTGGGAAAGCAGAGATAAGGAGAGGAATTCGAATTTACCAGGTCGCATTGTTGGATTTATTTGCATAGCATTATGCGACACATACCATACATACAATATACATTTGTGTATATCTATGTAGAGAAGGTGGCAAATATTATTTCGCACATGTGTAAAATATAAATCACTTTATTGCAACCAATTTGCACAAACGATTTGCTTTGACTGCCATTTTGCTGGCCATGTATGCAAATCGTGTTTATTGTGTGTCTGTGTCTGCATAAAATTCCCTGCCACATAAGCCACATTAATTGGATGCTGCCTTTTTGGGCCATTTTTGATTTGTGCCTTTCGCAATTAGCAGAAATATTTCGAGAAATATTTGTTTGCCCTGGACCCAAGGAGTTTTGTGTTGATTTATTGCAAGAAATTTACGACAGACCCAATGTTTATTTATACGACTTCCTCTCCCTTGGATTTATTCCGCTTCTCAACGGCTTGTTGAAAAAATAACCATAAAAGTTGGTCGTCTGTTTGTGTAAGTTCATATTTGCACAGCCAGCACTTTCAATATTTAAAGAGCAACGCATCATTAATTGGATGAATAAGGTTTTTGAATGAATAAATTTATCCATTTATAAAAAAATAAAAATAAATGCTGTTTTCATTCCTTTAAAAAAAAGGAATTAGCAATTTTATTATTTGTAGTTTAACTATATCAATATTTCATAAGTTTTGAAAAAATGGCAAAAATAATTTTTATGCTAAAAGCATAAAAGCTTAAAAAAGATAAAATTTCTAACCCATTTAAATGCAAATAATTTAACAAATATCTACTGCAAACTAAATTAAATTAAAATGCTTCTCCTGTTTTTCTCAACTTTGTAAGGCTTCCCCGGTGCAAAAATAGTGTCAGGTTTGCCCACAAAAGAAAACTCTCTAGCATTATGCAAAAATATACGACCTGACATTATATCGATTGACCTGCCAAGAGCAGCGTAAAACTATTTTTGCCTTCTCCATTAGACTTTTGCATCCCTTGGCCAAAACAGAAAAAAAACAACAGCAAAATAAAACTAATAAACGACGAGAAGAAACGAGACAGCTCGACTCTTTTATGAACATAAATTTTGAAAGCCTTTAATGGCGAGCGGCCACAACGACAACTACAACTACAACTACAACGACAACTACAAACAACGACAACAACAAATGGCAACCGCAGCTGTTGCTACGAATTTTTGCAACATTTTTCCTCTGTTTTCGGATTTGGCTGCTCAAATAAATTGCGCATAAATCGTGGGCAACATAAATTTTACATGTTGTGCCCGGCGTTTTTCGCCGACTGAAAACAAGTTGAAATTATGTGAACGAAGCGGGCATAATTTATGCGATCGGATGGGGAGGCAATTAAAATATTTGTGCCAGCTTACAAATTTCCTTAATTAAAAAATGTTTTAAACTATGCAATTACGAGTTGAATAAGTGAGATCAACAAAATACTCGTTTTTTATTAAGCGCGATTAGCAAGGGTTGTGATTGGTGTGTGAAAAAACAATAAAAGTTGAGTGCTTTTAAAACTAATGGAATTTATGTTGAATTTTTATTTCTAAAGTTTTCAATAAAGATGAAATTAATAAAAAGTCGAACATAAACGATTTTATAGCTGAAAAATAATAACATGTAAATGCAGATATTCAAAAAGATTTAAACAAAAGAAAAGAAAATATAAACATTTTTATTCATATATAGTATATATACTATGGAAAACAGCAAATAAGTGAATATCTCAGTTACTGCAATGATTTAGAGCAAGCTTAGCTAGTAATTTATGAAGTTAAGCTTCCTTATCACAAGTTTACACATTGTTTTGTCAATAACAAAAACTAACTGGAAATTCTTTCTATTTTTTCCCTTACTTTTCAGCAGTCACGCGCCCGCAAAAACTCCACCAAAGCAAACAAACTGAATGCAGCCGCTGCATCAGCAACATCGCCTCGTCTAAGTCCAGTGCCGGCAGCAACACTGTTGCCGCAGCAATCGCCAAATACCACAGCAGCAACAGGCAACCTGCAGCAGCAACAGCAGCAGCAATACCAGCAGCATCAGCAACTTTTGTCGCAGCAACAGCAGCAACTCCTGTCGCAGCAGCAGCAACAGCAATATCAGCAGCCGCAGCAGCAACAGCAGCACTTCCAGCAGCAACAGCACTTGCAGCAGCAGCAGCAGCACGCACAGCAGCAACATTTGCCACAGCAGCAACATCAGATAACCGCACAAATCCAAACCATGAAGGATCAACCGCAGCAACCCATGGTGAGTCGTCAATCGGTTTCGATTTTTCCCCTAAATGCCATTGACCTTTTCAGTTCTGCCCCTTTACTCAATTAGTTTTGATTTTCATTTCATTTTCCGTTTCAAGGCAGCCAAATGCAAAACACAAAATACAAAATACAAAACACAGAGCAAACCCATAAATTCGCTTGGCCATATTGCGTATACGTCACGTGGCCCCAGGCCCAATCAATTGCAGCTGTGCATACACAAACACAACAGCCAGACAACTTTATATATATATATATATATATATATATATAGTCCCCCATTCATTCATAAAGATTTGGTCGATTTTTATCAATGATTGCTAAATGCTTTTGAAAACAAAACCACACACCACGCACACACGTGAGCCAGGTGCAGATAAATTCCAGTTACAGGAAGCCAGCTGCCTCAATTCATACACTAAAAAAAAATTACAAGCAAATATTTTCTAAAAGGATTTGGTCGGAAAAAAATTATATAATTTGACTTTTTTTTAAATAACCAAACAATTATAGTTCTATTTGAATTTTCCTCGCTCAACTTTAGTTAAGGAATGAGTTTAAGAAATGATAATGAATTTAACAAACAGAAAACCAAAACTTTTTTCGAGTGCAATCAAAACTGTTTGCGTTTAAATTTTTACATTTTATTTGGATTTTATTGTTGCCCCCATTCCATTATTCCTCACTTTCACTTTCATAACTTTTTCAGTGCGCTCGTAAAAATGCAAATGAAAACGGGTTGAGTTTTGGGTCTGGCCGGCAGTCTGGCTTTGTTTTTCTGGCTTGTTATTCGTTATTCGTTTTTATTTCTTTTCATGGGGTTTTCCTGTTTATTCAGGGAACAAAAAATGTAGCATAATTTGAGGCGCGTTAATTAACAGTGGTGTTTTGTGTGTACACGTCGCGGAAGTTGTAAAAAGGAAATTTCTGTTTTCTGGGGTTCTGAAGCTCTGGAGTTCGCCACCAATTAAACTGAGCCTAATTAGGGCACCCAAAATATGATTTATGACTGGCCAATTCAGAGCAGCTTTGGGAACATAATTCATGTCAGTTATTCAACTGTTTTTATGACCAAAATGTTTATTTATGAAGGGTGTTGTAAGGGAGTGGAGCGGAAGTAATGGTATTAGTTTGGGTTTGAGTTAAGTCTAGACCTGAAAATAATGGTTGGATATGGGCATAATAAGGTGGCTAGAAAAAAGGAGTTGAAATTGGCTTAAATAAAAGGACCAAAAATCACCTGGGTAATAAATGATTGTGTAACGAAAAAAAGGGATTGGGTTTATGGCATGGGAAAACTGTAGAATAACTAAAATTTTATTTCAAGGACTTTCAAATTTATATATAATGGTTAAATCTTTAGGATACAATTTCATAAAATCATTTTTTGTTCATTTATGTCGTTAAGCATAGTGCCTAAATTTAAAAATTTTACGCAATGGCACATGTTATTGGAATTTAATCTTTAAAAATGTAAATTTCATGTTTATTTTCCATCTTTTGCAGGCACCCATGGCCTTCTATCCCACATGGCAGGCGGATCCGTCGCAGGGCTGGCAGAACCAGTTCATACAGCAGATACCACAGAACACACCGGCCATAACGTCCCTGAATTCGCTGGACTTCCAGACGCAGTCGTATGCGTATCCCTCGAACGGCTATGTGCAGTCGGGCCTGGGGTTCGATCCCAACTATGGCCGATCGCCATATGCGGCGCCAGTGCAGCGCTACGATTTCCAGAGTCAGCAGTTATCCTCGGCTCCGTCGGCCATCAATCAGGTGGGTCTGCAGGGGTTTGCTCCCAGTTACGCCACCCCAGTGCCGCCCTCGCAGCAGCAGCAACAGCAGCAGCAGCAGCAACAGCAACAGCAGCAGCAGCAACAGCAGCAACATTTGGGAGCGGATCTGAATAAGACGATGTCGTCGGGAAACGACACGCCTGGATATCCGCGGGTGAGCAGCGTGCCGCCGCGCTCACTCAACTGTAACGGGTATTCAGGCGATTACAGCGGTTCCCCAACCACCAACAGCAGCAACAGTAACAACAACAGCAACAACAACAACAACAGTAGCAGCAACAACACCAGCAACAACACTAGCAACAGCAATCCCCCCACAGTGGTAAGTGGTGGCACCACCACCCCAGCACCACCGCCCACTGTAGTGGCTCAGCCAGCCTCTTCGCCCATGCAACCACCCAACCAGGCGGTGCCGCAGTCGCCCACGCGCAGCAACATGTTGCAGGTGCAGCAACAGCAGCAGCAACATCAGTCGCCCACGGGCAATGGCCTGCAGCCCTATGTGGCACCCCAGCAGCAACATCTCGCCTCGCCACCCATGCAGGATTGGAACTGGCAGCAGCAGCAACAACAGCAGCAGCAGCAGCAACAGCAGCAGCAACAGCAGCAATCTCTGGCTGGTGAGGGCTATCCGCAGGGTGAAAGACTACACCTAAACACCCGCATCAAGTCCATGATTATGCGCAAAAGTGATCCCAAGGATCCGCCGCCTGATTTGCAGCAACAGCAGCAGCAGCAGCAACAGCAGCAACAGCAGCAACAACCGGCGGTGCAGCAACAACAGACCGGTCATTTTTTATCGTATAGCCACCATCTCCGGCCCGAAGCGGCGCTGAGCGCCAACGGACCGAGCAGTGCCACGCCCACCCACGCAATGCCGCCCAGCCTGCAGCAGCAGCAGCAGCAACAAGTGCAGCAGCAGCAGCAGCAGCAGGTGCAGCAGCAACAACAACAGCAGCAACAGGCAGTTGTTGGTGGGACAGTTGCTGCCGAGCCGATCGGAGGTGGTGGCGATCACATCTGGAAGCCACACCACGCCAACTCATTCAAAAAGCCCAGCGTGGTTAGTGGTTACCCAGCCGGACAGGATGCCCAGTTGCAGCTGCAGTTGCAGCAACACCAGCCAGGCCAACACACGACCATCAGTCATTCAGTGGAGCCACCAGTGGTGGTCTCTGCACCGCCCATTCCGGTGGCCACGCAACCCAAGAAATCCCGGAGTCGCAGTAAAGCCAGCAGAGCAGCAGCTGCGGCAGCAGCAGCCGCAGAAGCAGCAGCGGAAATCGATAGGGATCGCAACTCCACAGATCCCGGAGGCGGTGGTGGCCTGATGAAGCCCCTCAGTGGCGCCCACTATCCCCACCCGCATCCGCACGGAGGAGCACCCAATCAGGACTATCACACGCAGTACATTAAAACCGAACCGGGTCTCCTCGGACCCCCGCAGCCCAATAAAATGGAGGGCTACGAGCGGAACTACCAGAATTTCATTCAGTACGCAGACTTTTGCCAAAACGATGGTCAGGGTCAGCCGGTGCAACAGCATCATGGTCATGGGCAGCAGGACTACGCCGGCTATCACCACAATTCAGCTTATTATGGGGCCGGAGCCAGTAGTTTTCAGCAGAATTTCCAGCAGAATTTTGTCCCCGGATATCAGCACTCCACTTACGGAGGCAGAGGAAAGCCACCCGCCAATCCAACGCATCAAATCCATGGACATGGCCAGAGTTTGATGGAATTGGACAGGAAACCGGACACACAGAGCATTATACCACTGCCCACGAACTATGAGAAGGATATACCCGCCTATCCCATTCCGCCGCATCGATATGCGCTGGGACATGGAGCTCCACCGCCGCATTTGAGTCACCACGGGATGCTGGAGCCCAAGATCGAGGATATGGGAATGCTGGGACATGGCGGGGGCTATGCCTATCTGGGCGGTGAGGGAAAACCGCTGAACAATGGCTTCTCCTGCTGCCGACAGGGCGGAACTCGACCGCCCACGGCAGAGCACTTAAAGGATGGCACCTGCCTGGGATTGGGCATTCAGCCCAAGGAGGAACTCATCGACGAGGACGAGCTCATCGACACCCATGGCAATGGGCTGAAGCCCATTGGGGGCGTGGGCAAGGCCAAGGGTAAGCAGAAGCCCGACGAGATACCCGAAATCGTGGTGAAGCACGAGAAGATCAACCCCATGTTCGACACCACGGATCGACTGGAGAAGGGCAACAAGACCGAGATTCCCGAGTGCGAGTGCTTCCAGTCCGACAAGAATCCTCCGGAGCCGGGCACATACTACACGCATCTGGGTGAGTACATAAAAAATTAAAAACTTTTAATATTTATAATTTTTTTCTAAAAAGTTGCTTTGTTTATAAATTGCTTTAAATAATATTATTCTTTGTTATAAATAGTCAAACACACAATTACTTTGTTGTAACGAAGATAAATATATAAGACATCTCAGAAATATTATAAAAATAAATCTTATATAAATTAAATGAAGTCAGAACAAATATTTAAAATTTTTGGAACAACTTTTTATAATTAAGGTTTTTAAGAAGTATTACATAGATATATATTTAAATTAATATAAATATACATTTACTATACAAAACCCATTGGAACCAATTCTCATTTTTACCCTATGTTATTAAATTTCTCTCCAGGCACGGCATCCTCCCTAATGGAATTACGAAGAGAATTCGAGGAGCGTTGCAATCTCACGGGTCGCCAGTTGAGGATCGAGAAGATTGTCTACACGGGAAAGGAGGGCAAGACTTCCCAAGGATGTCCAGTGGCCAAGTGGGTCATCCGAAGAGCTGATCTCGAAGAGAAGATTCTGGTGGTGGTCAAAAAACGACCAGGTCACAGGTGAGTTTTCTACATCATTATTTATACAAAAATGGTTTTTAATTTTTTTATATTTTTACTTTTCAGATGCATAGCTGCCTACATAGTGGTGTGCATGGTGGCTTGGGATGGAATGCCTCGTTTGGAGGCGGATAATGCCTACAAGAATCTGATCCCGAAGCTCAACAAATACGGCCTGCCCACCACGCGAAGATGTGCCACCAATGAGAATCGCACCTGTGCCTGTCAAGGTATGTACAAATATAAAACACATAATTTCAAAAATAATAAATAAATATTTTATGAGAAATATAATTTCTCTTCGTTTGACGTGGTTTATGCGATGCGATATTTATATTACTTTCAATAAAAAAATGTTAAGATTCTATTTGGAATATATTTAATAAATAAATTAGAGAGTATTGAGACTACAGTGAAGGTCTTAAGATGTTTTGCCTATTTTGATATTCAATTAATATCTAATATATAATATTTTTTTTTTTTACTTTATTTTCAGGACTCGATCCGGAATCCTCTGGTGCCTCGTACTCCTTCGGCTGCTCCTGGTCGATGTACTACAACGGCTGCAAGTACGCCCGCTCCAAGACGGTGAGGAAGTTCCGGCTGTCGGTGAAAAGCGAGGAGGCTGCCATCGAGGATCACATGAACCTGATTGCCACCCTGCTGGCACCGGTCTTCAAGCAAGTGTGTCCGCGGTCCTACGACAATCAGACGAAGTACGAGCACGAGGCCAGCGATTGCCGGCTGGGCCTGGAGCCCGGGAAACCCTTTTCCGGGGTGACAGCCTGCCTGGACTTCTGCGCCCACTCGCACAGGGATCTGCACAACATGCAGGACGGCTGCACGGTGCATGTGGCTCTGCTGAAGCCCGGCAATCGGGACACCCGCCTTCCGGATGACGAACAGTTCCACGTCCTGCCCCTGTACACGATGGACGGCACCGACGAGTTCGAGAGTGTCGAGGGCCAGCGGGACAAGCACCGCACCGGTGCGGTGCAAATGCTGGACAAGTGAGTGTACCGTTGAGTTTTGAGCAGCAGCTCCCTAAGCACTCGGAAAGAAAATCGATCGCAAATCAGGGAAATCGTCGTTTAAGTCACTGAAATATATAGAAAATATTAGAAATGCACATAGCACATAATTAAAAAATATTTATGATAAATTCGAGAATTTTATTAGGAATCTATAATATTTATTAGGTATATAGGCTTTAACTAAAACATCTCTAAAAAGTTTAGAAAAGCTTTACAACCACACTCTACCCCTTGGGCATATTTTTCTTACATTAAAAGTGCAAATTAACATTTAAAAAATAATATATCATTCGATATGTTTTCTAATGTTCATAATAATTAATATTGGATATAATTTTGGAAGGTATTTATTTATTTACTTATTTATTTATTCAACTAAACATCACTACAGAGGTTCAAAATATTTTACAATCACACTCCGCTTATTATTACATAAAAAGCTGTAAAAATTAAGTATCACTTCAAAGGATTGCTTTTGTTAGGATACAAAGTTCCTTACTCAAAAAAAAAACTTATAAAATCTGTAAAGGACTAAAATATTTTTCACAATGCAATTATTTTTAGACGGCTTTCCACATCTAAGTTCGATTTTTGTTCAGAGTGTATTGATCCATGGACTTTGCTAATATGCATTTCCCATTTTCTACCCCCCATCAAATAGATTCCCCTGCGAAGTACGCGTGCGATCGACCCCGTTGATACCCTGCAGAAGGCATGGCAAAAAGCGGAAGGAGGGCGACGAGGCGGCGCCACCGGATGGAGATCAGGATGCGGTGGGCGATGCCAACAGTCAGAGCAGCTCCAGCAATGGTGGTGCTCCCACGCAGGGCAACAACAGCAACCAGCAGAGTAGTCCACCAGCTTTGGGTTCGGCCAATCACATCAAGAAGGAGAACGGGGTGGCCGCCAACGGAGGAGGAGGAGGAGGAGGAGGAGGAGGAGGTGCGGGATCAGCCAAGTCCAAGGGCAAGGGCAAGTCCAATCAGTCCAATAACTCCAGTGCTTCCACGCCGGGATCAGCGCCGCCTTCGACTCCCTCGCCGCGATGCCAAACGCCAGTGACGAACAATCCCAGTCCGGCGGGCAGTGCTTTCAGCACCCCACCCGTCCATGGCTCCAATCCCAATCCTGCCCAGAGCAATGGTCAGACCAGCACGGGCAATCAGCCGGGCCAGCTAATGAGCTCCAACTCCAGCCTGATGAACATGGCCACCATGATCGACACGTTCACCGATGCCCAGCTGCAGTCCAATCAGATCTCAAGCACTGTCTTGGATTCCCCGTACTCCTATGACTATCAGACGGGTTCGTATATCGACTCCAGGAACTACTATGGCCAGTGGCCCACGCCTCATGCTCCCATGGGCATGCAGGTGGGCGGAGGGGCAGGAGCTGGAGGTCCTGGAAACCCTGGAGCAGCTGTTCCCGGAGTGGGTCCACCCTTGACACCCACCACGCCCACGGCTCAGCCGCAATTGGCCACACCCACTGCTCTGCCAGGCGGCGGAGGAGCGCCGGCTGCAGCTGCACTGCCAGCTGCTGCTGCTCCTCCTGCTGCTGCTTCTGCTGCTGCTGCCATCACAGCCAATGCTCAGCTGGAGACGAGTAATGGCTATGGCACGGGTAGCTATCAAACGCTGGTCTCCAATCCCGCCTCGAATCTGGTCAATCCGGGCGGAGGAGTGGCCCCACCTGCCGAAGTGCAGCACTTACAACAGCAACAGCAGAATCCGCAGCAGCAACAGGGTTCGCTAATACCCAGCCTAGTGGGTGGCCCACCTGGTGGTGACCTCAAGAGCAGACTGGTCAGTGGCGAGGAGAATCCCGATTCTACTACGCTAGTGAACCACCATCATCATCATCATCAGCATCACAATCTGACGGAGAGCAAGTTGACTGCCCTGACTTCCATGCAACCGATGACGAACCTGGCCCAATTGACCACCTCGCATCATCCGCCGCATCAGGAGGGATTCGTGAAGCCGAAGCCACCGCATCAGCCCAGTGACTACACGGCCCAGTACACGGCTCAGTATCCGAATAACTACCAGATGTATCCACCGCCGCCGCCACCGCCACACTCGGCCTACTCCGCCTACGATGCCTACCAGAACATGAACTACAACTATGGTTATCACCAGGCGTACTCACCCTACGGCATGTATCCCCAGCAGACGCCGCCGCCCACGCCTCCGCCGCCCTCTCCCAACTGGAATATGTATGGTCATCACCAGACGACGGGCGCTGTGAACTCCGGCTATGGCGGAGTGGCCAATCCTGCGGTGTTGGCCAGTCCAGCGGGTGTCAGCCTACAGAAGCCCATAGTGCAGCATCAGCAGGTGCAACAGCAGGTGCAACAGCAGGTGCAGCAGCAGGTGCAACAACAGCAACAACAACAACAACAGGAACCTCCACAAACCATCCTGCCCGAGCTGAGTAATGGCCAAACCACTGCCGAAACAGTGGCCACGCCCACGCCAGCTGGAGAAACGTCTCCCAGCAATGATGCAGTATCGTTGCAGCCAGGAAATCCAGTAAATCCAGGTAATCCTGGCAATCCAACAGCTGCCACACCAGCTCCCTCGCCGGGCAGCACAAACTCCAGCAAAATCGAACCCATTGGCGAGGTGGCCGAGATCAATGAGAACATCGAGGCCTTCCAGGATCCACAGATGGGGGGCGTGGCCATTGCTTTGAATCATGGCAGTGTCCTCATCGAATGTGCCAAACATGAAATGCATGCCACGACGGCAGTGCGAAGACCAGATCGTCATCATCCCACCCGGATGACGCTGATCTTCTACCAGCATCGCAATCTCAACCGATGTCGTCATGGCATCGACGAGTGGGAGGAGAAGATGCGGGTGAAGAAGATCAACACGGATCTGGACAATAAAGCCAAAGAGGAACGCGAGCGTTTGATTAAGAAGGCAGCTGGCGAGGATCTGGACGAGCTGGATGAGGATGGACTCATGCAGGACGAACCCATGACAGTGCCGGTGAAGAAAGAAACCTCGAATGGCGGCCAAAACATGAAGAACGGAGCCAGTGGCAGTAAAAAGAAGAAAAGTAGCGCCGCCGCTGAGGCTAAGAAAAACCTGCAAAATAACAGCGAGCAGTCAAAAAACGAGAAGGTTGCCCTCCATGCACCAACACTGACGACCACGTCGTGGACGACCCTGTTCCCCATGCATCCGTGCGTGGTTTCGGGGAAATATCCGGAGGGCAATAGCAGTCCGACCTCGTCCACGAACAACGCCCCTGGTGGCTGCCCCCCATCGCAGTTGCCCCCGGCACCGCCTCCTGGCAGTGGGCTCCTCCCTCCGCCCACGGCCACGCCCACTGGCACCGCAGCAGCAGCACCACAGCCGCCCACTCCGCATCAGCAGCCGCATCAGCCGCATCAGCAGCAGCAGCAGACCTGAATCTCTTCAGGCTGAGGGGTTACTACTGGTAGTCCCTAATCTTAAGCATCCACATAAAGCAGCCCTGTTCCAAAATTGAATATCGATAGGATTAGGCGGTTTGGAAAACAAAAAAAACCTGATAATATATTTCAAGTTAAAGAAATTAAAATGGTTTAAAAAAAAACATTCAGAAAAGTTAACAAAAATTGTAAAAAAAAAATTGAAAATGGTTTTAAGACTATTTAAGGAAATTTTAAAAAGTTGAGATAATTAATATTGAATTGAGTTATCCTGAATATTTAAAGAAAAATGTAAAACATATTACAATTTGTAAGACACAGTTTGAAACAATGAAACGCATAATATAATGAAACGATTTTCAAAAAGCTAGATTTGAAACCAAAAAAAAATTATGACTATTTTAGCGCTACGCGTTATTTTCAAATTTAAAATTTGATGTCTCAAACTTTAGATGGTTATTTTGGGAAAGCAAAACTTCAAGAGATTCAAATAATTCATTCACAGTCAATTTTGCCTTTCGAAAATGTATCAAAAAGATTAACGGATTAAAAGTATAAAATCTTGAAAGCTAAATTTAACGATTTCCGCCAACCGTCGAAATAAATCGAAATGAAATTAAAGAACAGGGCTGTATGACTGAATATTCACTCAAAGCAAAGAAAAGAAACACGGAGACAAAAGAATTAATTATTTTTGTAAATGCGTCTGATTTTGTGTGCCATAGGAGGAGAGTAGGAAAAGTCCGCCGAAAAGGAGTTGCAGTTCAAAAAAGTACAGTTGACGCTGCCAGGCCAGAGTTGTCACCATTCCACAAAAACACAGAATAACAAAAAAAAAGAACAAGTAAATCCCAAATACTAAATACATCACTCAGCAAAAATCACGCAAAAATAACAAGTTTCTAAACTGATAAAGCAGCTAGTTTAAAATCAACTATTAACTTTAGTTTCTTAAGAGCCAGCAACAAAACAATTTCTGTTAAATGAGTTATTTTTTAAAGACAAGCAAAAAACAAACTACATAGGAGCCGCAAAAACGAATACTACTAAAACCAAAACTAAATAAAAAAAATTTTTGCTTGAAAACAAAAAAGTCATATTAAGAGTTAGTGGAAGTTGAAAAAAAGAAAGATCATTGCCAAAAGTACAAATAAACCATTTTTTAACAAGCAACTAGAAAAACGTAAAGAATTTCGCAAGACAACAAAAGAAAATAGTTGGTAACAAAGGAAAACAGTTTTTACGAAAGAACTACACTACACTACAAGAGTTTTTAATTTAGTTAAATACCTTTTGTTTTCACACAATTTGACTGTCCTTTGGGATTGGCTCGAAACTGAGTGGCAGTGCCAAACGAATTTAAATTGTATAAAATGAACAAATGAGAAATTTCTGTCTTTAAGAAGAGGTTGAAAATGATTTTTACACTGAAAGAAATTTCTCAGTTGCTTAGCTGATTTACCGTTAAACCAAACCACAAGCAAAACAGTTGAAAATGGTGCGAGCAGGACAACTATAACTACAACTAGAGAAGAATTGAATATTTTTGAGCAAGTGAGAAAGAGACAAACAGAGCGGCACACGCTCGGTGAGAAAGAGATGAACCGATGGAAATGTAAGGCAGCAAGACATTTTTAAACTTTAATCATAATTTAAACTAATTTTAAGCAACACACACACAGACACACACATGCAACACAAAACGAAAGTTATATATTTTATTATTTATGCGCAAATCGACGGCAAATAAGGGGTTAATTCTAGTTATTATTATTTCTGCAAGATTTAGTTTGAAAAACCCAAAAAGACTCGAAACCAATCAAGTATTAAGCACTAAACAACCAACAACTAATACTAAACTTATTTGCCTAACCATTTGTAATTGTTGTATAAAACTCAATTAATAATTTGCATCCATCCAAAAGGTAAAATAAAAATTAAAGATTAGAATGCAAAATGTGGCAGCGCAACTGAATTTCAAATCAAATTAGTCTACATATAAATATATTTTGCACAAAACGAAACAAAAACGAAACAAAAACAAAAAGGAAAGGATAAGCAAAAAACGGTTATATTGATAATACGATTTTTAATTTGACGATTGTACGTAATGTAATGTAAATGTAAGGCAGCGAAGAAGACTTTTGAGCAACAAGAAAAAACATGTTTTGATAAATATTTAAATGTTTATATAAATATATATATATATATTAATATAACTTATGATAATTGATAATTGATTAACTGATTACGCAAGCCAACAACTATTATAGTTTGTAAATGCTTTTTTATCATTTTCAAATAAAAGCAAATCCTTTGCCATTATTAAGTTACACAAACAAAAAACACCCCAAATCGACTTTTGAGTTTCGCGGGGCGTCCGGCGGTGCACCTTATATATAAACTATACGTATTGGCATATGATAAAGCAAAAAACAAAACAAAAACCAATTAACATTGAAAGCAGCATAAGTAATAAGCGGAAATCAGAATTAGAAATCAGAAATGAGAATATAGCACCTGATCACAGCGATTATTCAGGTGCTAAATCAGCGAGAGATACGATATAGCGATGATACATACATATTGTACTTGTAAAACGATCACAACAAAAAAACCGAGAACGTATATACAGATTGTGAAGCACGAAGATGGATGGATGAGAAAAAAAAAACATAAATTATATTTATTTAAAGTACGCGCATGGAAAGCAAACAGATATTAATATTAAATAAAACGAAAACAAAGTTAAAATTGCCAATTTGCGTTTAAATATGGGTTTTATCATTAGGTGGTAATAAATTATGGAGAGGAATTTAAATATAGTCTTCAACATTTTTCTAAAACTGCACTTTCTCTTCATGATACTTTTAGAATCTAGTTTCAAACCAAACTAAATTCTCAAAAAGTTAAAAAACAAAGCAAAGTTTGCTTTTTTTTCTTAGGTGGTTTATGTATAGTTTTATCATTGAATAAAGTTCAATAAAATTTTTAACATTTTTTTTGAAACTGCTAAATTTAATGGAAAACATTTTTTCTGGAATACAAAGTCATACATATCAAAACTTATGACCACTATGAATTTTCCGTTTCATAATACTTTTAGAATCTTGTTTAAAACCAAACAAAATTCATCAAAAGTTTGAGATGCACTATTTATAAAGATACATGAATAGTATTTAATGCAGCAATGGGAATGTGCGCTTGAGTCGCGGTAAATTGTAAATTGTAAATTGGCCAAGCAACAGCCTTACAACCTATCTAGCCTAGTTATTTACAACGAAGTTTTCTAAGTACATGGCAAGTGATACTATCGCTGAGCAGCGGTTAAATGTTAAAGATTGAGGACGAGGTCCTGGGAGTAGTTGTCCAACGCCGTCTGATTGAAGGAGCCGAAGTTCCATTGCTGGAAACGATTGTCGGGATCGCATTTGTTGACCACCACCTCCTGGGAGAAGGGCAGCAGCTCCAGGCACCGTCTGCCCTCCGTTCCGTGTTTGAGTAGCTTCTGCTGGTAGTCGTAGTACCAGTACTGATTGCCGCCCTGGCCATGGCACTCCCACAGCCAAATGGGTGCATTGGCATCCCAGATCTGCACATCCAGGCACTCCTTCTTTCGCCGCAGTCGCAGATCCCTCTTCCAGCTTAGCTCCCAGAACTGTGTTCGCTGCGGAATCTTTATATCGTTGGCACACGCGTACATGCCCATCTTGTTGTGCTTCTTCCGGCCCATCGTGTCCAGGCAAAGATTCGTGTTGCCCACATTTTGGATGGCACCCAGGGCATAGGCTGGCGGATCCACCGGCGGATAGGTCTTCATCAGATCGAAGGCCACCTCCTCCATGAACCACTTGAAGGATTTGCACTTCAGCTTGGTGCGAATCGCCTTCTGGGCTTTCAGATCTCCAGGATCCACGCTTTCATAGAGTCCATCTCCGTGGCTATACAAATAGTGCTTGTACTCGTCCATCCAAACCTCCGCCACTCGCTTGTAGTTCTGCAAATAAATCAATCGTTTGTTAATAAAAAAACTATTGCATTACTTTTCTAACAAGTATTTAATTTCGAAAAGACTTATATTTCAAGAGTTGTGGTTTAAATTTCTTAAAATCGGTGTATAAATTTAGGCATACTTTAACAACAATGTGTTAGTTTTCTGCCCTAAATTTTCGATAATAAACAATATGCTGATAACTAAATATTTATTAATGTTTACAAAAACAAAAATAAAACTTATTATCTGAACGATTAAAGTTTTGCAAACCTATATTACAAAATCGCCTGAAAGTATTTTTAGCAACAAAGTGTTAAATTTGCTGCCATTAGTATTCAATAGTAAATATTTTTTTTGCAAACTAAATAACAAATAAAGATGTCCCATTCAGATAAGCCAATGTAATTGGTGAGAAACTTGGCGTGAATATTTGCATATATATTTAGCAGCTACATGACAAGTTTTTTTTCGCTTTAACAGCTTTAACAGACAAAAGATCTTGAATAGAGTGTGTAATAAAAGTAAGAAACAGGTATTCTTTCAGCTAGATTAAAGGGCGTGTCTTTATATGCTAATTATAAATATATAGCTCTTTTTTAAAACGGGTTTTGGGTCAACGAATTCAAAATTTTTTTCTTTTCTCAATTTTTGTTTGAGTATATTTTAGATCAGAGCTTCTGTGCACCTATTGGGTATAACAAATTTCTCAATAAGCTGAGTATTAAATATATATATTATTTAGTATTGAATTAATGAATTGAAGTCTGTAGTTTATTTTCAAGACACACTTGACCCATTTAAATGCGATTTCTAAAACAAACTATATTCTGAGTTAATCTACTCACCTTGTGCAGATAGTCGCCCTTTCTGGGACTCGGTTGGTGGTGACGAGGTCCGCGATATATATGGCCAATGCGGGAGCAGGGAGCATCGTACATCTCACCGCCGCACATCCAGATCTTGAAGCTCAGCTCGTACTGTTCGCCACCCCAGATGTCCAGACCCTCGTCGTAGCCGCCCAGTTCCCAGAAGAACTCTCTGGAAATGGCAAAAAGACCACCGGCCATCACCGGACTTTTGAAGGGGTCCGCCGGATGCTTAAGATCCTCATCCAAAAGAGGCAACCGCTTGTAGAAGAACTCCCAGTCGAAGGCTCCTCGGGCACCCTCGTCTTGTGCCCGATAGTTGAAGTTGGAGTGATCGATCACATCGATGAAAGGACACACCGCCGTCCGTTTGTTCAAGGCTATTGGCTCTAGCAGCGGTGGCAACCAATTGTAGTTGGCCTCCACATGGGAATCGAGGAAGATGAGCACTTCGGCAGTGGCATTCCTGGCTCCCGCAGCTCGGGCACCAATTAAACCCGTGCGACTGGGCAATCTAACCACTCGCACCCACTTAAAGTGTTCCGCAATGTAGGCCTCCAGATCGTGACCCAAATAGTCCCGATCACTGTGGTCATCCACCAGGATTATCTCCTTCAGCAGCTCCGGCGGTGAGCGGTTGATCAAGCTGTGCACCGAGCGCATCAGGACGCTCAGATATTCGTTGTAGAAGATGATGATCACACTGACAGTGGGCAACTTCGCCACATACTCCTTCTTGCGGCAACTGCAAAAGAAAATTTATTAATATAAATAATAATAAATGGGCTATGTTATAAGGTAATTCAATTTAATAGTTTAATGTTTTGTTATAAGGGAATTAAATTTAATAGTGACAGAAAACATGTTGTTTAAGTGAATATAAAAAAAAAAACAAATTTTGCTATAATTAGCCATACAGTTTCTCAGAAATTAAATGTGTCTCTTAATGAGCACAAAGATATTATTGTTCCCGCAGTATTATTGTTTTAAATCCAAATTTATAAACTAAGTTTTACAGACGGTCAAATTTAGTAGCGACTTAAAGAGGGTTATTTAAATACAAAATTGAAATAATCTGTTAAGTTTCAGTCTATCAAAAAATAAGCGGAATTAACATATTCCGATTTGCACATGTCCATTAGTTGATTCTAAAAATGTATTTTTAAATTTTTACTAACTGATATAGAGCAGTAAACATTTATCAACATGACAACAAAGATTTTATCTATTGGGGGTCATAAAATAAACGTTATGTGGATGTTTAAATTCGAGTGTGTTATCCTCAATAGAAATAAAAAAAAAACTACATGGTTATGTATAATAAATTTCACACATTTTCACAATAACCTTTTGTATATATATATAAAAAGACAACTACATATTTGGATATATAATTTTGAGAACTACACCCTCATCAAAGCTATTTTGTTCCCCAAAAATATGTAGCTTCATAGTAAAAAACCCAAAAAAAAGTGAGCAATAACCTTGATAAGAGTACTACATATTTGGATATATAATTCTATTATCAGAGCTATAAAGTACCCCAAAAAAAATATGTGATTTAATGCCGAAAAACTTACAGATGATGGCGGATGTCGGGCAGCGAGCGATTAACCGATATGGAATCGGAAAGCAGGGCATTGAATCCGTTCTCGAGGGACATTCGTTTCTCCAACTCCCGCTGGGATTCATCGTCCAGCGTGGCGGCTTTTCCCTTCTCGCCGAGACCCACTCGCTGGGCATCTCTGGCCATGGCCGTGTAGTCATGCCAATCCTTCTTCACGGAGGCATCGGCGGGCGGAGCCACCTGGAGCTGCTCCTGGGCAGGATTGTGGTCCTCCTCGTCCACCGGTTCCGGGTCATCGATCTTCTGCAGCTCTGGATCCTCCTCGAAGTCAGGTTCCTCGGGCTTTCGCACCTCTGGTTTCTTGAGTTTTTCCCTTGGAGCTGGCATCTTTGCCAGCTCAATATCGCCGGAGAGACCAGCCTGTTCCGGCAGAGGTTCCACGCCATGATGCACGGGTTTATTGGTGTACGGACTGGAGGAGATCCAGCTGGTGATCAGTATGAAAAGTGTGAGGGAGACCAGTATAAGCAGCGAGGCCTTCACTATCCACTTGAGATTGGGTCGCCGCATCTTAGCCGGATATCCGTGGTTACGTGTCGGCCAAATGAACCATTAAAGTTGGTTATAACTTAAGCTATGAGGCCACGAAATACAGTTGATATCGGAGTGTTGGCTCAGGTGTTTCTTCTGCTATTTGCTGGGCTGTCTGTCTATCTTGCAACGTGGTTTCCACTACGTCAAAAACAGAAATGAAAGAATAGTTGAAAAACAGAGCAAAAGTAACCACATATATAAGTATCTTTCTTAAGTGGGCACTTACACACAAGAAGAAAAGAACCCAAAAGATAAGAGACATTTTCACCAAATTGAAAGATAAAAAATAAATTTGTGTGCTACTTATGCACTTAAAGAACTTCCGGTGAATATTTACATTATCGCTTGTCTATGTTAAAAAGAAGTTATTATGTTCAATGAATATTACAACCTTTTATGATGTTAAACCGCCTGACATTGTTTATATTTGCAAATTTAATTACTTTTAATCAGGTGAAACGTCATCAGCAGGTGAGTTCTTATCAGAAGTTGGTAGTGTTTTTTAATTGGATTTTTATGGGCTTGTACTTATATTCACCTGCTTTTGGTTATGTTCCACTCAAACCTCAATCCAATATGGGTTGAATAAACTTATAACTACTAATTAGCATAGCAAAACAAAAGGTTACTTCCACGTCCGCGAAAATTCGGTTTTTTTTTGGGCAGTTTCTTGGCGCTGTTCTAGTGCCGTTCACATGGAAACGCCTTCACTTGCCGCAGAAACAGCTGTTTGGGTATTCACCCCGAAAAAGGGGCGCCGTTCAAAGGGTTTTTGTAATAATGTTCTTCTATTTAACTTTTAAAAATGTAAAGACTTCTGAGCAAGCATTTAATACAATAGTTAAAAAAAAAATCACTTGAAAATTTAGCTTTTGTATCACTAAAAACAATTAAGGAATAGCATTATTCTTAAAACATTTAAAAGCTTTGTTTGCCGGCTCTGCGACATTTAAATTTGACAAACAGAAATAAACAAAAATCCACATAAATGATTAACAACTTCTTGCTTTATTGATGTAGCCAAGTTCCCTAGGCAATGTTCAACATTTTCTTGACCTCCTCCTTGTATTTGCCCAAATTGTACTCGTTTTCGCCCTCGTTGATCAGTTGCTCCACACAATTGGCATACGACTTGCTGGGCGACACCTTGGGGGCACCCTCTTTGATGTTCCAGTTGAGGATGCCCTCGGCGGAGAGCTTCGACTGGTTCCTCTCGAAGAGATACACCTCCATGTCGGCCTCCGATTTGGTTTCCTCCCAGGGTTCGGTGACAAAGGATTCGTGATAGCAAGCGGTGAGCAGATACAAGGCATAGTCGTAGTTCTGCTTCTTTTGCGGACACCGATCCGTGACGATGGTGAGGATATCCGTATCCTTGTTGTAACGATCGCCGACGAGACGCAAGAACTTATCCCGCGAATGCGCATCAAATTGAAGATCGGAGAGCTTCAGGGAAATGGTGACCCTTCTGGCCTCCGGATTTCTGATGGTGGGCAAGGCCTCACAGTAGTCCGTGGTGGTGACCTCGATGGGAAAGTGCCGCCGCCACTTGGCCTCCGTCTCCAGACCCTTTGGCCATGGCGTGCAGAATCTCTTGATGGCTTCGCATTGCTGGCGAATAGCCGGTGGCGTTAAATGCAGAAAATTGGGGATTTTCATCAGCTCGGCATTGGCGAACTTCGAGGGAGCTGCCGCCCCACGTTCCGTGAATCCCTGGCGAAGTGGCAGAGGCACACTGGCCGGGTGGAAGGATCGTGGTCCTGGCCAAACCGTCGTCCAATCCTGATCCACCGCCATGCGACCGGTTCGAGGTGGTGTGATGGGATCCCGGCGCACCTGTTGGCGTTTCTGGAATTGCTGCTTCACCGTCCGCAGGCTGAGCACTCGGAATTCTGTTCAGGAACCAGTAGAAGATATATCCATTAGAGTGTAAAGCATTAGGAGCAGCACATTGTTTACCTTCATCGTCTTCAACTTCTGCAGGCTGCTCTTGGTTGGAAAAAACACGAATACTGCTTTGGGCCGCCTGTTTTTTGAGTGGCAAACGCTCCCACAAGCGGGTCAATCCAGCAGACATGGTTTTCCTTTTCAATTTCTGTTTGCAAATCTAATATTTATTGAAAAAATCAAACTATTTATGCGGCTTTTACGTAAACCATGCGACAACCGAATGACATTCGCCCCGAACGGCAAGTGAAACAGCTGTTCGCTGGGAATTGCCATTCTCAGGTGACGCTTGAGTTGTTTTCCAATAAGAGCCCGCCAAAAAATGTGAAGTTTTAAAAATGCTTTTAATATTAAAGACATTTATGGAAAAATAGAATAAAATAAAATATCATATTAAAATGCTTCATAAAGTTATTTAACCGAACTATAGAAATTGATTGAAATACAAGTTTCCTTTTATATACATTTTTATTTAGGTAAAATAATAGAAAATATAACTTTTGATGTACTGTAATATGGCTAAAAAGGATAAGTTCAATCCATCACATCCATTCGATCCCAGCCTTGTGCATGGTGCTCCTTTTATGTACATTATTGTTTATTTTTAGTAAAACATTAGAAAACATTGCGTTATGCTGTGATAAGCCCCTCAAACTAAAGCTACCTTATGGCTATAACCGATTTGCTCAGTGGATCTCCTGCTTCCACTTGTCGCGTGCCTCCAATTTTGCCTCCGGAACCAGGGAGCTCTTGGCGCCGCCCAGGATGTTGGTGGTGGCCTGGGTGGCCAGGACCGCCGGACAGACGACGAGCTGCGGGATCTGGCGCACCACCGCACCCACTGCTCCACTGTAGCCCTTCTGGTCGTGCTCCGTGAGGGCAGCCTCGATCAGCGTGTTGGCCGATTCGTTGATGCCCTCCTTAACGATGGTGTAGGCGTTGGCCACGCCCTCGCGCAGATCCTTGGGCCGTCCCTGCCGCCGCCTCCTCATGTTGCCCTGCCGGCCACCTTTCCTCTTTTTCAGCGAAGGTCCAGCGGATAACATATCGAACGTAGTCTCCGCCGTGAATTGCAGCAGGTGTATGATCCTCGAGGTGATCTCCAGCGCTGCCAGTGCTGTGCGCGCCGTGAAACTCTGTGCTCCCAGCTGGAATCCCCTGATGATCCGGCCATCCTTGTTGTACTGCTCGATGGGCAGGCGGAACAGATCGTAGAAACCCTGGAAGAGCTGCAACACCGCATTGGTGGGCCCAATGCCGCTCAAGATATTGGGCAGCTGGTTGCGCTTGATGTCCTTGAGCCACTCCTTGGCCAGAAATTCGCAGAGCTTGTTCCAGCCCAGGATGCCGCGGCGGTTAACAATTTCTCTGAGATTTATACCCGATCCCTGGAGCTGCGCCAGACCCATAATCAAACCGGTGACTGGTCCTCGCGAGAGCTCAATCCTCCTTCCATGGTAGTCGAAACAAATGGGCAGAGCTGGACTGAAGACCACCTCGCGGAAGAAGACGGGTGGAGCCGTGGCCGGATCCTCCTCCAGCTCGCTCTCCACGCTATTCTCTTCGATCAGGACATTCAGATTTCGCTCCACCATCTCCTTGACCTCATCCGAATCGGGCTGCTCATCGGTGAGATCCTCCGGAAGTTTGCTAACCGACATCACTGGCATATCTGTGCTGGGTGGCACCTCCGTTTTGGTGGCACCACCACTGCCGGCCGAATTGCGGAACATGCCCGAAAAGAAGTCCTCCAGAAAGAGCAGTGTATCCTGATCGATATTCAGTTTTATGGGCAGAATGGACACGCGCAACGAGCACTCCTCCGCCGAGCTCTTCTGCGGATTGGGACGCACATTGAGCGCCTTCACTATCACCATATTGTCGTCGGGTCTGTGGGACAAGTTGTTGCCCGTTGGGTGATACAGAAACTTGTTGATGTCCGAGGAGCGCAGTCGGTCCCTGATCTCGATTTCCGAGACGAGCAGCACCTGGCGCGACGAGTACATGGATGTCAGCGGATAGGTTTCGTAGGAGAAGCGGATCTTGGAGAGCTGTATCTCCACCAGAACCTCCAAATTGCGCTGTGAACCCTTTGGTTGCTTCGGCAGGCTCCTCTTCGCGCCCTTCCTATCCTGCTTATCCTGTTCCTGGGCCTGCGATACGCCATACTTGTAGGTATCCGACATGCCAAAGTTGCCAGTTGCGGAAGATGAAGAGGACTTCTTGAGTGGTTCGTCGGGGAAATCCCGGCCACCGTAGAGGTGCCAGGTGAAGGTCATCTCGCAGAGGGTGTAGCTGCTCTCGGCCACTGGGAAATTGGCTGGCGGCCTCAGCAGATCCACCTTCTCGTGCGGCAGCTCAAAGTGGTTGTCCACAATCTGCAGCGGATCCTCCGAAATGTAGATCTGCTTGATGCCGAATTTGTCCATGCGACCGATCTCCTCGTCGTGTATAATGTCGAAGTCGCGTTCCTCCAAGGAGGCATTGCCCAGGGAACCCAGTTCCTGTTGCACCTGCGTGCCCAGCGAGGTTTGGGTAAGCACTTGGCTCTGCTGGTAGTACGATTGCAAAATAACATTCGACTCGAAGTCCAGAATGTCGCCAATGACCGAAGGGCTCTCCACCATCAGCGATTTGCTTTGACTGGCCTTGGCGGGCGTGGATTTGCGCTTCTCCTTGGGCTCGTCCGGAAAGTAGAAGATCTCGATGCCCTCCTCCCTGCCGCCCGGGGATTTGGTGCTCCTGGGGTTTGGCAAACACTCTACATCCATTACAGCATCGGCCATCAGCTTGTTCACATGGTTCTGCGTGTGATCGCTGACCTCCTGATCCTCATTCTGTTTGGGTTCCTCCTTCTGCTTGGTTTCCTCATTCAGAACGGGCTCCTCCGGCGGCAACAGATCCCTGTCATTGGCCACATAGGCTATCAGTTGGGCCAGAGCCGCAGCCGAATCGTAGCAGGTCTTCAGATGCATGTCGTGTATGGAGGAGCGCAGATCCACACGCGGTTGTCCACTGCCCTCGGCATTCAATCTGAACGATATATTCAGAAGGCCCAGGTTCAAAACGGGTATCAGCGAGTCGTCATTGGGGGCGTTAACCAAACCCAGCTGGAGCACACAATCCTCCGCCAGGAGACGCAAAGTGCAGCCACTCATGGATGATATGATATTGCTGCTCAGCGTGCAATAGCCCAGATCGAGGAAAGCGCGCTGCGGAAAGAACTTGGGGCGATAGTCGAGGCCACAGTTCCACACATGCAACTGCAGCTCGGAGATCAAGGCAAAGGGTTCGTACTCCTCGATGGGAAAGTCGGCCACGTCCATAAAGTCGATCAATTGATTCAGCCAGCTGTGCTCCGAGTGGCACGAGTGGTGCTGCAGGATGGCCCCACTTATGCCAAACGACATTTTCATCCTCTTGATACGCTGCTCTGGTTGCTTCTTGATCTCCGCCACCAGCGATAAAACCTCCATTCGTTTCCTTTCTGTTTGCACCTGATGATTGCTGGGAAAGTTATAGATGGAGGGCAGCAGATTCTTATCCGACAAGTCACTCCACGCCAGCACCAAATCTTGCCGAGTATTGCCACAATGCAAGGCCTCAATCTCGCCCAGCTGTATGCAGAAGAAGCTCCTATTCGCATCGTTGTCCAGCCCGTTCACTGTGAACAGACGCAGCTCCTTGAGATTCACCTGGAACTTGCCGCACTCCTGCGAGCGTTGATTGGTCTCCGGATCGAGGATGTGGGAGAACAGGATGAGCGAACCCTGCTCCACGAACAGCTCAAAGGAGAAGGCCTCATTGCGAACTGGCGGTGGCGCCGAAGCACTTGAAACAGTTGGCTCCGCCATGGAAAAGTAAATGCTGCTCTCCATGGCGCTGGTGCTGAGGAGCAGGTTCCGCCGGAACTCCTCCAACTGGGGCGTATCTGCATCCAGGTGGTGCTTTGATGCTACAACACCTCTCTCCTCCTCCTCTGGACGGCTGTCATAGTGCGGCGAACGTGGCTCCCACATAAAGAGATCTCCATTGAGGCGATTGTATATCAGTTCATACATGCTCTTCGAATCCAGCACAACCTTAACGTTGGGTACAAAGGCAAAGATTTTCAGCTTGGAGGACTGAGTGCAACTATCGCAGAACTCGTTGATCTCCTCCGTTTCGCCGGGCAGAAGGGAATCCGTCTTGTCCACACCGCCATCGAGTCCCTCCACATGGGATGTATAGCCAAAGGTGCATTTGGAGCTGAAGGGCGACTTCCTCAGGGGTTTCTTCTGATTGCTTTCATTACTTTCACTCAGCTGGAGCACATCGATTTGTATTTTCTTATTCGGCTGCATTCTCTGCTGGCACTTCAGCAGATGCACCGCACTCTGCTTATCCACATCACAGTAAAACGCATCCAGTTCATCCGAAACTATGCTGATTTGCGATCTTGAACTAACTACCAGAGAACGAAACTCCAGGGCCAAGAAATCACGACGCACATTCTTCTGCCACCAGGGAATCTTCTGCGGATCGTTGGCCGCCCTGCCGTCCACCACTGGGAATCGCAAGTGCAGACGCAGATTCTCGCACTTTACACTGAATTCCGTTTGGCTGGGATCATCTGGATAGGAGTTCGAGGGAGCCCCCGCATCTCTGGAAAAGGGGGAACTGCCAAAGAGGGCTCCCAAACGATCGTATATGGATATATCCAGTTCTGCGGTGCACTCGTCCAAACTGCATTCGATTTTGTTGGTGCCACGATTGTGGTTCTGCTTGAACATGAACGAGGAGCTCTGGGTGACCACGATTTCGGGTCGAATGTGATAGCCATCCGGGCAGTTGCGCTGGCGATCGAACTGCAGCAGATGCTCCACGGAGTTGCCCAGCACCTCGCTGAGATCCACGGCAGTGGCCGACAGGGTGGTGCGGGATGTGAGCTCCTGGAAGTAGCGTTGCTGACTGCCACCCACGATGATGGGGGCTGCTCGCAGCAGGAGGTACTGCTGCTGCTGCAGGGGCATTTGCTGCTCGAGGAGAGTGCCCAGAAAGAAACCACTGGCAGTGTCCGAGTAGCGAAGGTAACTGGCGTGATCGAACACAGTGCTAACACTGTCGATATTGGCGGTGTTCTGTATGAGTATGTCCTGGTGCAAGGCCACTCCATAGATTTTCGATATCTGAACCTTGAACTTGAGGATCTCCCCCGATTTCTCCGTGTAGCCCAACTCCTGCTGCAGCGTATTGGTGCACGAGGTGAGCATGCTGTTGGTGGATTCACTCATTTTTCGACTGCGCGAGTATGCGCTCCGGGGGGCATTTGCTCCGCCATAGCCTGAGTATTCCGAGGGCTCCGGGCATTCCGACATGCCTGTACACCAGTCCGCATTCTGGCCCAGAATTCCCGTCATCCGTGTGGGCTGCTGACTCTGCATGTGATACTCGCTGGGCGGCGGGACCGACTTCAAGCTCCTGCCCTTTTTGGGCCGCTCTTGCTGGCCGCCGCTATTGAATCCCTTGGAGAGCTCGATGAGCAGATGGATTTGCCGCGGCGTCAGCATGAAGTAGATGTCATCCAGGCTCAGTTCCAGACTGACCTTGGGTCCCACTATATTCTCCGTCTGCTTGATATTGATTTGTATATTCTGCGCCCCCTTGAGCTCCACAATCTTGCAGAGCTGTTCGTAGGGGGTGGGTCCAAACTGGTGGTCCAAAACATCCAGCACTTCGGAGGTGTGCAAACTGAGTCCCTCGATCACCAGATTATGTTTGGCTATCATGGGCAGCGCATTGAAGCTGCCGTTGGGATCCTCCTCCGGCGTTTCGGTGTCCTGCGAGGTGGACATGGTGGGCAGCTCGTAGCCTGTCTTGTTCTTGTACTCCACATGGCTGGCCTGGAAGGAGAGCACCAGTTTCCGGTCCGATCTGGGCAGCAGGTACTCTATATTCAAAGTGGTATTTGTCAGTTTGGCACGAATGCGATTGAGTACATTATCGATGGTTTCGGCAAACTTCTCCAGCCCAATCAATGCGTTGTTGTGGTTGAGAAAGGGCACATCGTCGTCCACCTGCTTCATACATTCCTCGGCCATTTGCATGGAGCTGCTGACGGAGGACCACATGGACTCCAGCATGGTGGTGCCGCTCTGGAAGCGGGTAACTGGCCTTAAAGTAATGGTTAAATTGGAGATCTCCAGGCTGCTGTCGTTGGTCATCAGGGCATTCCAGGGTACGACGACCGTCAGGCAGCCAATGTGCCCGGAAACCACCTCAAAGGCCCAGCCCTGATCCTCGAAGAGATCGTTGAAGGCGTTGACCTTCAGGAATATATCCTCCACCACCGCCTTGCCATTGTACAGATCCACTTTCAGCTGCTCCAAGTTCAAGTTATTCTCGAAGAACTGGCCCAAGTATCGCTGCAGCAGGTAGCGACACATTTTCGTTTTGAGGCCATCCCAGGGATTAAACCACGACATCTTGCCTGCGGTTTTCCCCTAATTCCCGAATTTTTCACCACCAAAGCGAAATCTTTTGTGCGTTTTAAATTTGTTTTTGTGCTGATGATATTTTTCCAGCGCAGCAGCAGCAGCAACAACAACAATAACAGACCTTTGTTATTGTTTTCTGGTTTTGTGGCGAAAACAAGGAAACGGAAGAGAATTATTGATAAGACTCTATAAAAATTGCTTACCACTCACATTTTATGATTGGCGGGGGCGGAGGGCGGCTGTGGGCGGGTATATATGTGCATTATTTTGGAAAATAATGAATTAATAAAGCGTAGTTAGCGAGTGACCATCGAATGTTGGCCCTTCTTCTTCTTCTCCGTTTTGTTGCTGTGTTAAGTGTGACCAGGTAAGGGGTGGGCGAGAAATACCGTTTGCAAAAGGGCTCTGCGGGGGAGGTGGTTTTTCAAAATAAGTAATAGTTTATTAATCTTTCTTTGATTTTAAATAAAATGACTATTTTTAAGTCCAGCTCTTATTTATTTAGGGTTTCAGAGCTCCCAAATTGTACTAAATATATATAATTATTAAAGAAGTCTGACTTTCGATAGTGCTGCAAAACTCGCCATAACAGCTGTTTGTTTATTGTTGTTTATTTTTATATGTTTTTACTTACAGGTTGGCAATTTTATTTAGCAATGGATACTGGAAATAAATGTGTTTTCCAAACATCGGCTCTTCCTAAAACCAACCAACCACATGTGGGATTTATTAGCTACTCTTTTAAGTTTTTATTGATTTAAAGACTACGTCTATGCCGAACATATATTTCACTCAAACAGATTTATTTAAATTTATATGTCTTAGATAGTTAAAATTTGTTAGGAATCAGTTAATGATGCAAGTCACAGTAATATAATACCATTTAAAAACAAACCACCTGTTGCTACCCTGGAATAAGTCATACTTATTGTAGTGTTGTAAAACGCAGCTTCACACCACAGCTGTTTTGCTTGCAAAGTTCTTAATTATTATTGTTTTCCTCCTTAGTTTTTTTTCTTTTGTTTGCAATTAATTATGTTCCTTTGGCATTTTTTGAGCCTTTTGTGCCTTGCTTTCGTCTCCAACGAGGCGAAATCCATCAAGAAGTCGCATGTTAATCTGTTGGAGCCAACTTTTGATCAGGATGATAAGCTGGGGAGGATTGGGATTTCCCCGCCTGACATTTCCAATAATGTGCAACGTGTGCAGCAGGTTCCATGGAATGATCCACCTGATAAGGATCATGGCTGGCAGGGAAAATGGTTTCCCCATGTCCCAGGAGATCCGCAGGATAGAAAGCAGTCCAAGGAAGAGACTACCACCACGGAGACAGTTTCAGTTGCTCCACTGGAGATGAAAACCAAGGACAATTGGCAGGGCAAGTGGTTTCCCCAAGCACCAGGAGCACCCCATCTGGTCAGGAACGACTCCACATCGCAGGAAATTACCTCCACCACCGGAGCACCACATGTAATAAAGAAAAAACCGCTGGACGGATGGAATTCGCAGGAAGCTGAGGAGAAAAGCACCACGGAGGAGGTCAAGATAGAGGAGTCCAGCACCCAGGGTCAGGATGTTTGGCAGGGCAAGTGGTTTCCCCAAGGTCCCAATGAACCGCACAAAACTAAACCTATCATTTGCGATGATGGCAAGGTATGTTTACATTCCCAAAAAAGGGGAATTCCCATAAAATAAACCATACGTAAGAAGAAAGGAAAAAACCCATAAATGAAATCCATGAAATGGGAAAATCGTTTTTAAAATTATGATTTACTATTATTTTTCTACTATTTTGATCTAACTTTATTTACAAACATATGTACTATTAAAACCGCTTGGTTTTTAAAAGTATTTCTAAAATAAGAAAAGGTAAAGCTGTCTAAATTACAAAGATGTTTTACACTTACACATATTATATTTACACATCAATATAAATCTTTAAGCAAAAGCAAAATATAATATATATACATAAGCCTTCAGCTGATAATGACTCACTTCATTCGTATTGTTTGTATTTCAGAGCAACCTCGCCGTGGATTACGATCCAAATGACATCAGTGATAGCCTGAATTACCTGTGCATCACCAGCAATCGCAGTTTGTACCAGCCGAACTTGACCAGAGCAGCCATTCTCACGGAGCACTTCCTGCCCTCCGCCTATTTACCACCTGCCAAGTGCTTGAGTGAACGTATTAATTACTCCCACCTGCCAGTCACCAAGTAATTAAAGTTAAATGATTTATGTCCTAGCAACTAAACTAAAGCTAAACTTTGATTTTCAGTGGAGCCTATCGTCCGTTGCCCGCAGAGTATGGATCCTATTCCTACCTGCCACCACAGCGATACGTTCGTAACCTGGCAGAAGGTGCCATTGTGATGCTCTACCATCCCTGCGCCTTTCCCGGCCAAGTGAAGCAGCTGCAGGACATGGTGGGCGGCTGCCTATATCGCCACTTGATCACACCTTCGCAGGCTCTCACTCCGGAGCGCCCTTTGGCCCTGCTCGCCTGGAGTCGCAGCCTGGAGATGTCCGTGGTGGATCAGCGACTGGCGGTGGAGTTTATCCAGAAGCACGCCAAGCAGGGACCGCTTGCGCCGGAGGAAATGTCGCGGGTGGTGGACAAGAGGGAGACCTACAAGGAGGGACTGCTCACGGAGGCCCACTTGGTCACCACGGCGGATGACTACGAGCTGTGCGGCTACCTGCAGGAGGGAATGTAGGGAGAACATGTTAACTATTTGTTTTAAATATAATTCGAATATTTTGTCTATAACTTGTATTTTTAATTATGCTCTGTGCTTGTCAAAGTTTTCATTTTTTAACCTCGTTTCTTGTCGGCAATATTAATAACAATTAATTTCAAAGGCTTTTTTCCGAACAAAATCTCAAAAAAAACTTAAAATCTGGTCTTAAAAACCATTTTTTAACAACAAAAACCGTTACTTTTCAGTGTGAACGCATGGCGCAAAAAAATGCCATAAAGCACTAACGCCTTCTGCTTTTTTGGCATTTTCGCATTTCTCGCTTACTGTCCTCGGTTTCGGTTTAGTTCTCTTTTCTCCGGATAATAAATAATAGTTAATAGACGATCGCCAAACGATCCCCCAACTTGGTCGCCACTCGAACAAAGTCGCCCCAAGAAAACCGACGGCTATATATAATTTTCACCCCCGCCCTCCTCCGGAAAAGCCCAGGAAATCCCAAATCCGAGTGCGTAGCCCCCGAAGAAGAGGAAGAAGGAGAAGAACAACAACAATAGAGGAGAGGTGAAACAAAGGAGACTCAAAACTAAAAACAATTAAATTGGCAATTTGTGGGCGACATAGCGTCGATATATCACGTGATTGTCTGGTTAGTATAATGGCCAAACCAATTAAATAGTGATTTTTAATGTGTCCTGCTTGGATTACAGCTTTTACATAACATACAAGGCGGTTGATTTGAAGAAGGAGCTGTAAAGGATTAGGAAGTGGAATATCAGAAGCTGGAGCAGGAGGAGCACTAGGTGGAGTTATCGAACAGCTGGAGACACCAAGGAGCCACAAAAGGAAGAGCCTAGTAACTGCAAAGGAGCATCATACGAAGAGCTTTAAAGGATCAGGGAAGCAGCACCAAAAGGAACCTCTAGAAACCCCAAAAACCATAAGAAACCCCCGCTAACTTGCACCATGAACAACCTGGCCGACACTGTGGTCGTTGATCCTGGATTCGGAGGCGGTGACAAGCAAGCCCAGGCAGGACCGGCACCGCAGGATGCCAGTGTGGTGGTTCCGCCGCCAGCCACCAAGCAATCCTCGGCCCTGAAGAAGACCAGTCGGTACAGGAGCCGCTCGCTAAGTGCCTCCTCCACGGATTCCTTTAGCTCCGCCAGCTATACGGGCAGCAGCGAGGATGGCGACGATGTGCCGCCGCGGGAGAAGGTGCAAAAGAACTCCAAAGGCAGCTCTGACTTCTGTGTGAGGAACATTGCCGCCCAGCATGCCTTCGGTCGCCGGGAAATCGAGATTGCGGAGCAGGAAATGCCGGGCATTATTGCGCTGAAAAAGCGCGCTGCCGAGGACAAGCCGCTGAAGGATGCCAAGATCGTCGGGTGCACACACATCAACGCCCAGACGGCGGTGCTCATCGAAACGCTGGTGGAACTGGGGGCCAGTGTGCGCTGGGCCGCCTGTAACATCTATTCCACGCAGGTGAGTACGGTTTTATGAACAACCACCCACATCATCCGCCACATCATGCATTTATTTATTTACTACCATTTGTCGTAAAAAATATGGCAAATTTAGTATAGATGAGCGACTGATATTGTTTATGGACTCTTAGCAAGTTATTAAATTATTTTCTGTAGTCATTTTGTAATAAAAAAAGAGTTTTTTGTTGTATTTTAGCAAGTTTTTATAAATTATTTGTATATAATGATGTGTACCCATTTACAATATGTATAAAACAGTTTATAAGGTTAACTAAAAAGAACTAGATGTGCATTTGAAAAGCAAGACTTTTAATTATTTTTTTTATAGTTTGAAACAGTTTAAACGTTTAATTTTAACGTATAAATTTGTGTATTTAATGGTAATAAGAAATCTACTAAACCGACCAGCTCTTTAACTAAATTTTATATAAATCGATTTAAAATTTTTGAAATATTTAAAAGGTATTCAGATATTTCCTAGTAGTTTGCTAAAATTTACATTTCCAAAGATTAGGTAAGAAAAAACTAAATTTTATAAGTACTAAACAAAATTTCCCTTAATTTATATACAAAATGCATTCCCAACGTTTATTTAAATTCAAATTTATATTCGAGTTTGGTCACTTGATCTGGCTGGTGGCTTGGAGACAATTGTTGTCACGCCAGGCGGCGCAAACAAATGATCAATCAAGCCATGTTAATCAATTAAGCGCCCGCGGCTCAAGTGTTTGGCAATCGCTGAGTAATTGATGTGCCCTGAATTGGGTCGCCACATCATTGGGGCAGTGGAGTGGAGTGGAGTGGAAGTTGTAGACGCAGTAGCTCGGTTTGTTTCCAGCCTCGTCTGCGGTTTCTCGATCTGTTTGCGCAGTCCTGCGGCGTGGCTGATGCAATTATCACGAGTCTGCTGACTCTAAAAAATTTATGGGATCTCTAATGAAGCGATGCGAGTGCGAGGCCACACCCCCTGCTCATTTATGCGCCCACCCGTCGCCGTCCGTCCGTAAAAACTTTTATCGCCTTCCGATTTTCACCGACAGCCTGTCACGCTGAATCACCTGTATCACCTGGGGCCTATCAGCCCAGCTCCGAGTGCTGTGCTTAGCGAGGGTGCAGCCCGGTTCCCTATCAGCCAGATATAAGTCAGATATTACCAAATGTTTACACCGCATTAGGGGGACCCGATTTATCAGACAAACAGTCTTTGCGGAATTCGTGGGGGTTTTTTATTTCTATAATAGCCTTCGAGGACTATAGATTTTCATTTTTATTTTCATGAGTATTTTTATACATTAATTCTTACTATTATAAAAAACGATTCCATTAGGGTGCCTCGATTTAACAGACAAACAGTATTTTCAAAATTCATGGATGTTTTCACTGCATGACCATAGTTGTAATAGCCTTCAAAGACGAAATATTAATTTTGATTATTTTTAAACCATTAAAACATAAAGATTCCTGATTTATGTTCATAATTTAAAAAGTATTTGAAACAATCCATGTGTATATATGTACATGAAGAAGCCTATATTCACGTTGTTTAAACCAGCTCGATTTATAAAAAATAAGTTTATTTGAATTTCCTTGTTTAGTATAGTTATTATTCAATTTTCTATTTATTCTTACTCTTATGAAATCTGGTATGAATACTGTAATTTTTTTTGGGCCTTTTATATTCATATATTTTTCATTTTCTTATCAGCCTCATTAGGCCACTTCAAATTATTAATGTCTATAAATTATTTTATAATCTTAAGAGCGATATACATTTTTGCTCAAAATCTCAATATGTCTATAAATCAAAAAATTAAGTAGTCTTAAATCTATAAATAGTTGTAGAACACACCTTTCGTAATATATTTACAAAATTACTTTGTGTTGCACATATTTAGAGTGGCTCAACTTATAAAAAAAAATATATTCTTTGTCAAATTGAGGTTTTTTATAGCTTTATATTTTAAATATTATCTATCACCTCAGTCGTAATCAAAAATTAAATTAGCTTTAAATATTTTTGCAATTGATTTAGAAATACATTTTATGTTATCAAACTTTTTCATCATACTTCAAATGGTTGGGAATGATAAATTCATTTATTTTCATTTGTTAGTAACTTAAACAATTACCGAAACGAAAATGTAGTTTCATAAGAGATGCCAAAGACATGTTTAAAAAGTAGTCAATAAAGAGTAGCCAGGTAAAATATAAGTAATAGTGATTTTTAATTAATATTATTTTGAACTGTTACGATTTTGATTATTAAACAATTCGTTGTTGAAATAGACTGTAACATTACTGCATTCATCAACCCTTTTACTTCATATAAATTATCTATGATTTAAATCCACTAATATTTTCCTCACTGTGCAGAATGAAGTAGCAGCTGCCTTGGCCGAATCTGGAATCCCGATCTTCGCCTGGCGCGGCGAGACGGAGGAGGACTTCTGGTGGTGCATCGATCGATGCGTGAACGCGGAGAACTGGCAGCCCAATATGATACTGGACGATGGCGGCGATGCCACGCACCTGATGCTGAAGAAGTACCCGACCATGTTCAAGTTGGTCAAGGGAATCGTGGAGGAGAGCGTGACCGGGGTGCACAGACTGTACCAGCTGTCCAAGGCGGGCAAGCTGACGGTGCCGGCGATGAATGTGAACGATTCGGTGACGAAGACCAAGTTCGACAATTTGTACAGCTGCAAGGAGTCGATCCTGGACAGCCTCAAGCGCTCCACGGATGTCATGTTTGGCGGCAAGCAGGTGGTGGTCTGTGGCTACGGAGATGTGGGCAAGGGATGCGCCCAGGCACTCAAAGGGCAGGTCAGTCTTGAGTTTATCCTTAAACAAAAAAAATCTCTTAATATGCTGAAACTTTTTGCTACAGGGCTGCATTGTGTACATCACGGAGATCGATCCCATTTGCGCCCTGCAGGCCAGCATGGATGGCTTCCGCGTGGTCAAGCTGAACGAGGTGATCCGCAACGTGGACATTGTGGTGACGGCGACGGGCAACAAGAATGTGGTGGTGCGTGAGCACATGGACAAGATGAAGAGCGGCTGCATTGTGTGCAACATGGGTCACTCGAACACGGAGATCGATGTGAATGGATTGCGGACACCTGACTTGACCTGGGAGAAGGTGCGTTCGCAGGTGGACCACATCATCTGGCCGGAGGGCAAGTACATCATCCTGCTGGCCGAGGGCAGGCTGGTGAATCTCTCCTGCTCCAGCATTCCCTCGTTCGCCGTGTCCATCACCTCGGCCACTCAGGCGCTGGCTCTGATTGAGCTCTTCAACGCGCCGCCCGGACGCTACAAGTCGGATGTCTACTTGCTGCCCAAGAAGATGGACGAGTATGTGGCCAGCCTGCACCTGCCCACCTTCGATGCCCATCTCACGGAGCTGAGCGACGAGCAGGCCAAGTACATGGGGCTGAACAAGGCCGGTCCTTTCAAGCCCAACTACTACCGCTACTAAAAACAAGGTCGAAGCGAAGGAGGCGGCGATCTGCGGACAATAACACCAGCAATTAGGAGTAACAACAACGCCAACGAAAGTATTGTCTTTGCGAAGAAGTAAAACTATTTAAAACAATTGTTGTCACACACACACACACGGAACACACACAAAAGGATAGGGAAAGGAGAACACAAAGTTACTATTACCATTGTATTGCTTAGTTTAGCTCGAGCGGAATTCTTGGTTGCTTTTCGTTAGCATTTAACGTCTTCGATATATAGTATTTAGCACTCGATTTAGCCGCAGGAGTATTCTCTCTGTTCACTAACCGCCAAATGACTCTCTAAACCCTAAACTAATCTTGCCCCCCAAGAATTTATTCCCTTAAAATGTTTTTATAGCCGGTTACTTGAATTTATTTTAGATATTTCGATTGCTTTTTGTCCAGTTTGTCATATTTCAAAAGATGTAATTTTGAAGCAGAAATGGAATTGATATAAAGAAGGATTTGATTGACAACTTTGATCAACTAATTTTATAACAATTATATGTTAATGAATTTCCGGTGCAATAACTAAAACCTAATGACTTTACAGACAACTATAGTATACATTTTGAATTGACTTAATTTATTCTATCTTCTTTAAACTAAAAGGATCATCAATGTAAATTGAAATCTAAGTGAATGAATCCCTTTTTTGAATTATGACATCTATAATAATCAGTGATCGATTTAACCTCTCGTATTGTTTACGTACTTAATTTGTTAATCGTTTATGACCCATGCTTTTAATTATGGCACTTTTGTACTTTCGTTTCGTCCGGAGAGTGTTGATTGGAAATGCAGTGCAAAGTAATTCCATTTATTCAATTATATACACGCTGGCATATATATCAGATCGAGAATTATATATATATACACTGCATATACACCTAATATGTATATTAGAGAAAAGTGAAAAATGTTTGTAAGAAATTTGTGAGAAACGCAAAACAATAAAAAACGGATTCTTTATTGAGCAATATTGATTGATTTTTCGTCCCGTGTTTGTCAACCCAGAAAAAGACGCCTTTCAGATGCATCACTCGTCTATTTCTCTTTTTATTACTTGATACTTGCCTTAATCTTGTTATGTTTTTCTTTGATATTTTATAAAATGTAAACTACACGAGTTTGTTATAAAAAAATCATACACATTATGTATTACAATTCACGTTTTAGTGTTTTATGTTTTATAATAATTTCTCCGTTCAATCTCTATCTTAAAATGCCGTAAAGTGCACATATCAAACCCGTCCTAATTAGGTTAATGCTAAACACATGCGTCAACTAAATCTTAATCAAAGGTTGTGTGTGTGTGGAACAAACAAATCGAAGCGGAGCCGAAAGGTTACAGTGGGCTAAAGGTAAACCATATATGTATATAGGGTTTGCATCTGGAGAGGATCGGCGGCGGGCGGCGCAGATTTAGTCGAGAAAGTGAGGCTTGAGGTGCTTGAGCATGCCGAAGGTGCGGAATCGGCGAATCTTCATCACCTTCATCAGCTCGTCGTCGCAGATGGCGAACTGCTTGTTCTTGGGATCGTACAGGTCGCGCTCCTTGATGATGGCCCACACCTTCTTGACCACTTCGTGGCGGGGTAGCGAGGATTCGCCCATGAGGGCGCTCAGTTCGGGCGAGAGATTGTAGGCTCGGGTGAAGCCGGTGGACTTGCGACCCGATCCGGAACCCGTACCTCCGGCAGCCTTGCCTGCCTTCTTCTTGGCGGCCGGCTTCTTGACCACCTCGTAGTCCGAATCCGATCCTGCATCACTCTCGGTTCCGGAATCATCGGCATTCAGGGTCTTGCGCTTCTTCTTCGGAGCCTTGTGCTTGGTGGGTTGTGGCCTCTTCTTGGGACCTGGTTTTTTCTTCTGCTTCTGGGCGGCAGCCTCTTCCTCGCTGCTGCTCGGATCCTCCTCTTCGCTGGGTTCGCTCTCCTCGTCGGGCTCCGCATCCGGGTCCTTGCCCTCGTCGTCGTCCTCGTCCTCGTCGTCTTGCTGCTCGTTGATCACCTCCATCACGATCTTGTCGAACTCCTTCTTGCGGCTCAGCAGCGAGCAGTTGAGCTTGCCCTCCACCTGTTCGCGCACCCGCTTGGCAGAAATGGTGGCCAAATCAGCGTCCTTGAGGACAGCCTGGATTTCGCGACGCAGGTCCTCGCTGGAGATGTCCGACATCTTGTTCGTGTGGTATTCCTCGTTTTACGTCGGTACACGTATTTCTGAGTTGAATGTCAAGGGTTCGCCTGATTATTCCGATCCAGATCTTAATCAGTTGATGGCTACTTACCTGGAATTCACTTTTCGGTGGTGTTTTTCACGTTACTCGGAATTTTTTACGGCTACGGCTGCAGAAATTGTTCCGTTTTTTTTCTTTACACCGGCGTCTATATAGGGTTGCAACTTGATGACCGCACTTATCGGTATCGAAGGCAGAAAATCCGGATATCGGACAGTGCTGGCGGGCTTATAGCCAAATGTGGCTGGAGGGCAGGTGCATATTAAATTAGCTATAATGTAGCAAAATTATTTTGATTCATTTTTGTTGCAATATACGCTTACATTCTTAATTATTTTGTGCTCCAATAAATTCAAAACAGAATCTTTTGAAAACTTAAATTTACTGGCATCTCTAAGGGGCTGCCACTTGATGGCCGCAATTATCTATTTCGAAACAGTGCCGGCGGGACTCTACTCGAATTTGGCTAGAAGACAGGTGCATACAAAAATTGATTTAAATATATGATTAAAACAAAGGTTGATGTATAGGGTAAGAAGCTAGTTAAGTTCTCAACCACTGGTCATATTGTGCCGGTATATTTTAGTACATTTTGCAGAGTAGTATATTTTTACCATCGTGATGCGGACACACTGGTACCACAAGAACGTCGCGTATTTGTTAAAAACTAAAACTAAATAATATTTATCAACCGTTTTAAGTTCGCCCCACGCCTCCAACCATTTCACCGATGCGCAATAAGTTATTGTCTTTTTAATTTGCCGTGTGTGTGTCGAGAAAATCGGTGCAATTGCAGCAGCTGCAGCAACAATAACAATATATAAAAATACCAGCAACAACTACACTACACACTCACATCAACAACAACAACAACGTGCGCTGAGGTAATTTTGCTATTTTTTATGCTTTGTTGTTTTTTGTTTATTTATAAAGTTGTGCGGGTGTGAGAGTGTGAGTGAGGTGCGTGAGTGAGATGCGTGAGATTCCCGTCTAAATTTGATTTTGGTGCAATTTTTCATGAAGTCCCCCTTTATTTAATTGCATTTATGTATATCTATTTCGCTGTTTTAATCCACTTTATGCGTGAGATTCGCAAAAGTTTTGGCGTTTCCTCTTTGGCTCCTCTTCGTCGCTTTGCGCTTCTCCGCTTTGTGCCGCTGCTTCGCGTCTTTGTTTTGCCGGCGTTTCGATGACGTTTTAGTTGTCTCCTTTTGTTCGAATTTGCGACGCCCTTTTCCAATTGGAACTTTTTAGACTCCGAAATTAAAAACTTTTTTTTACTGGAAGTAAAAAATCAATTAACTTAACGTTAATATAACTCACATGCTTCTTAAGAGCTGTGTGCTCCTCCTATTTTGTACTGATTTTTTCAGAAAAACTACAGTACAGCCTGTTGAAGAAAAACGATTATTTAAAAATCCATAATATTATTATAAAATTCAAGCTAAATACGGAATGCCAATTTGGTGCTAGCTTATTTGAAAAACTTTCAATAAATTGAATTTTAAATGAATAAAATAATTCATATTTCAAATAAAGAAAAATGATGAGCCTTTTTTGGATTAATGTCTAAGAAAAATATTACAAAATCACATTTTTGGATGGATTTGATATCATTTAGAATTAGTATTATCATTTAAAATTGACAGAACAAAAAAAAAATAGTTATATAAAAATAAAAAGTGCTGGACAAAAACAGCATAGTAATGAGTTTTAAAAAACTTGCAATAATAAAATTTATAAAGTTTGTCTTCCAATAAATATCTACTTCCCCCACTTGGTTTATGGATAGCTTAGTAAAAACCGCAGAAATTACAAGGCATAAATAGGTTTCAATAGTTCTGTAAAAAGTTTATCCGGTAACGATAAAAAATATGCCGGGCTATTTTAATCCAAAACTGATAAGCAACAACCACTTTACTTCAAGATAAGAAAGTACAAGTACTCGTACATAATTTTCCTTTGTGTTTATCACATTAATTTCGATATTCTTTAAATTTCTTTACAAGAAATCGTTGTGTATTTTGTATTAATAGCCGATTTGAATATTTATTTATTGCAGCGGCTGTGCTCCGTGTTGTCAGGCATCTATTTCGTATTTTTTTGTTGGCCTTTTTATTTATTTTGTGGCTTGTTGTCGCCTCACAGTGACTGCCAACAGTATACACCCTATACCTGTTGCTACGTGCCACCCACAAAAGTGAAAGCATACTTTTAGCTGGAAGTGTGACAGACAGAATTAATATTTCAGCGCTTTTGTTTTTTTCAAACCAATTAGATGTTCTTGGCATAGTTTTTTCTTATTTTGACCGATCTAACATTGCTCATTTAAGTAATCACATAAATTATCGCAGATTATGAAATCAGCCGATAGAATTGGCTGTTGTTTTTCAAGATTTAAAAAAAATTTAGCTTCTTGTGGAAAGTGGAATTAAATGATGATAAGGAGATGGAATAGAGAATATTTTAAATAAAATGAGTAATTGATGTAGAAAAGTGTAGATTAAGCAAATATACCGTTTTATAAGTCTTAAGATAAATTTTCTTTCTTTCAATACGTTATCAAACAAATTCTTTTATGTTCTACAAAAAATCAAAAATATCAAAAACTTTAAATAAATATTTTAAAGATAATTAGGAAATGATTTACCTTTAGAATTTAAAAGAGCCTAAATTTGAAATATGACACAATTACTCTTTTAAAAATTTAAAACAATATTAGGCGGGATATTATGTACATGAAATATTAAATTAGTTGTACTTGGTGATGTTAGACCTACACTTGCTTAAAGAAAATCCAATTAAAAGAGCAATTTAAATTTAATAGTTTATTTTCTATGGCCAAGTGTATGTCTTGAATCGCTTAAGTATAACTAAATTAATAAATTAAATAATTCTTTGTTGTCGATATATATTTGTTAAATTCTTTATTTTATAAATGAAGATAATTTGCAATTTCCCGCTGCCTTCGGACGTTCATTGTTTATAGCTGTTTTAGAACTAAATGCCCGCAGTGTTGTTTCGTCATTATGAAACGACGTCAAAGTAAAAGCACCAAGAATTTTCGCACGGTGAAAAATGTTTTTCAATTTTCCACCGCTGCTGCTGCCCCGAAAAAATGAAAGAAAGAAAAAGTTTTCACCGCCCACGCCGAAAATTCTGACGCGCTCGATTTGTGTTTGACTTGGTGCCTTGCTTCCATATTTTTTATGCTAGCATTTTATAATTTATGCACAAAAAATCAAAAAAATATATAAGTGATGCCTGCATTAAGACAAACGGGAATGGAATGGATTTTCGCAGCATTTCAGCCGGAAAGTGAGTGAGCAGGGGGTGTTTTTGGGTGCACAGTGAGCCATAAAAGTCTGCCACTCATAACTCATAGGCCAAACTATTTTTCTGTGACCCTGGACGAGGTGCTTGACAGCGGCAAAACAATTAAATGCGGGTTGGAAGTGCACACATATATTTTTATGTTTCTGGCATGTGCACTATAAATGTGTGCGAATGCCGAAATTCGCAAATAAATTCCCTTTTTTTGGCGGTGCAATCGTTTGGCCCTGACATTGCACTTGCAGCATGGAAAATGGGAAACCGTGCGATTGCAGCAAATGGGAAATGCAAATGGGCGATATTTTCCCATGAAAAATTCTTCACTTTGTTTATGACAATTTCCAAATTGAAGACGGCACAAATAGTCAAAAACGAGAATTGGAGAATTTAAGGCAAACAAGATTAAGAAATACGTACAGTGCGTTACATAAAGATGGGCTTACTTTTATTATATCTTACTTAAATATAATAATAATTTCGCTGAAATATTTCAAATATAAAATCTAAAAATATAAAATACTGAACTTTTAATTCATAAGGAAGATTTTCACATAAGAATTTGCATTTATCTTATTTTAAATATATTTATATGTTAATGGTTAGCATATTGTCATAAAATTAAGTCTTATAAACTTACACTCGTATGTATTGAAGAACTATAGTATTTCGATCTGCCATGCACTGTAATCGGGCAGTGAAAATAGTTGTTGCGACTTGGCGACTAAAGGCGTCATAAAAACACGCCCACAGCCATGACACAATCGAAGAAGATGATGCTTGGTTGGTCCGATTTTTCCCTGGGGGCCTGAGAAAAGGCTTTTTGACGTTTGCGCCCGATTTGGCCATAAATTTGAAAAATGATTTTCTACAAGATTCTGCAGTCGTGCAAAGCAAAAATCCTGTGTCGTTAAATCAAATCAAAACGAAACGACAACGACAACGACAACAAAAAGTCAGAGCTGAGTCAATTTTCTTATTTTTAGTTGCTGCTATTGGTATGTGCTTTTATTTTATACTTTTAAATGTATATTTCTATTTGCGAATAATAAAAAAAATATATATATTTGTGCTAAATTTAACCCAATTAGTTGTCGGTGTTCTAAATTTGTATTCGCAATTTACTTTGATTTTCCTTTGCCAGCATTCCTCGGCCGCAAATCAATCGAAAGAGTAAACTCAATCGGGGATTAGTCATGCAGGTGGTTCTCTCTACATCGAATCAATTCACAGTTCGGTTTGTGTTTAGGAATTATACGACCATCATAAATTATATTTTATATCTTGAATCGATTCCCCAAGCGTCCAATTGCCCAATTTGTGAATTTGTTTATTGGCAAAAAATTATGCTGCACGATCTGGGCGAAAGTTGCTTTTCAAGGTCGTTGCGTTGGATTGTTTGCAAAGGATTTTTGCAGTTAAGATATTCTGCTTTGGATGTTGGCCAAATAATAAATATGATTTTTTTCGCATTTTTCGTTTGGCATATCTTATTGTTGCTCCCTGTGATATGTGTTTATAGGGAAAATAAAAGAAAAGGTGTTGCGGGGTTTGGAAATATCAAATGGGAATATATATTTTAGGAAGTCAGTCATAAATAAAATATATTTAAAGTGCTTAGGCTATATTTATTTGGGAATTGCGATGGCTTAGGATGCGTTGAACTTTAAGAGGTTTGAGTTTTTGTATGCGAATTTTTATTAGTTTCTTATTAATGTTTTATAACTTATTTGAATGTATATAATATACATTATGAAGGATAAATTAAAAAAAGTTACAAAAAGTTTAGACATGATTTCAATATATAAATACTTGAGACCTTTTAAACCTTTTTAGGTATTACAATTCACATCAAC